TTTTTATTATTATTATTATTATTATTATTGTCACTTTTGAATTGAATTCATTTCAGCTAAACACAGCCGTGGCTTTGATGGGTAGAAAACAACCAGTGGTTCAGGGCGTTGAGTACGAAAACAATGTTGATTATATTATTCACCGGACATTGTTACCCCCTGATCGATTGATAACCAACATGCAAAATACATGAGACAGCAGTAAAGAGCGCTTTATAAATACAAATTATTATTATTATTATAATTATAATAATAATAATAATTATTATTATTATTATTATTATTATTATTATTATTATTACTATTATTATTATTATTAATATTATTATTATTATTATTATTATTATTATTATTATTGTCGTTGTTATTATTTCTATTATTATTATTATTACTATTATTATTATTACTAGTATTATAATTATTATAATTATTATTATTATTATTATTATTATTACTATTACTACAACTATTATTATTATTACTACTATTATTGTTATTATTTCTATTATTTTTATTACTATTATTATTATTGCTACTATTATTATTACTATTATTATTATTAATACTACTACTACTACTACTACTACAAATATTATTATTATTATTATTATTATTATTATTATTATTATTATTATTATTATTATTATTATTATTATTATTATTATCACTTTTGAATTGAATTCATTTCAGCTAAACGCAGCCGTGGATTAAGTAAAGATACCTCAGCTTTGGTACAGGGCGTTGAGTACGAAAACAATGTTGATAATATTATTCACCGGACATTGTTACCCCCTGATCGACTGATAACCAACATGCAAAATACAACAGAGTACAGTGTTCATATAACACAAGTAAGTATTGTAGTAATTATTAGATAATGGTGGATGGTGAACCTTGAGAGTGTTTGTATTTTATTTTGCTTGTTTGAAAAATATATAAAAAATATACGGTAATGTAAGAATACATTTTCTTGTTATTATCTTAATATTATTTATTATTATTATTATTATTATTATTATTATTATTATTATTATTATTATTATTGTTATCATTATTATTGTTATTATTGTAGTTGTTGTTGTTGTTGTTATTATTATTATCTGCACCTGCACTATTATAGCATTCTCCACAGTGAGCTGATTAGCTTATGTGTTCCATTCGCTTCATTCAATGACCGGGGATAATTATAATGTGAAGCACTTAGGGGACTTGTTGACCTGAAGTGTTATGCGTCTAACATAATATTATAATAGCAATATTATTACTATTATTATCGTTTACATATTTAGTTATACATTTTAAGTAGTTTTCTTTTGACCGCTATATATATGTGGTTAAGGCCCTTAGTCCCCATGCCTTACAGTGAAGAGCTTTTATGGTATTTTGCAAGTGCTGGCAAGGTAAACTAAAAACATAATATTATACCGTAAAGCCTCGAATTGAATCCCAATGTGCTTAATTTGGAGTCTCCAACGTCGACGCAATCTGAAAGTCTCCTCAACTCGACCGACCAATCAGCATCAGCGAAAGCTGTCTGTGATAGCGTGTAGCGATTGTGTGGAAACCGAGCTAGAGAGGGATTGTTTTAAGACTGATGTGCCACTGCTCTATCCTCAATAATTTTTTTTTTGTCTTTTTATTTTCAAGAGCGCCAAAGACCATTGGTTGGCAGAGATGAATGCAACGCAAAGTAGAAGAAGTCAAAACCTTCGACGATATTGCAATCAACAGCATATACAAGTAGCTGACTTGGAGAACACTAAAGATTTGTTGGAAATCAGGTCTAATACTCCGCCGTTGGATGCATTTGTATTTGATGACAATTTTGAGTTCATGGTGAGTGTAATACAGAAAGTTGGCTCTAAACACTGGCGGAATCTGTTCTCGGATCTGCGCAGACGTGTAAATAGTCACCGTCGCCAGTCTGGTCGAGTTCGCTCGTATCCAAACGGGGCTTTACTTTCCCAAGTGAAAGATATAAGAGAGTTAAAGTACCGACTGCAAAACTATAAGAAAATCATATTTACTCGACACCCGTTAGTACGTGCGCTGAGTGCGTACAGGGACAAGTTCGAGAAGGACGTCGTGGATTACTGCTGGAGCGTTGGATCTATCATTCTGAACAATTACAGGAGGAATTACACCGGTTTAGATGTGAGACATGTCCACGACATTAGCTTCAGTGAATTTGTTGAGTTTATCACAGATCCGAATGCACCGGATGAGAAAAACGACCGGCATTGGATCCCGATTTCTCAGCGCTCTAACCCATGCCGAATTGCTTACGATGTTCTAGGCAAGCTTGAGACAATCGATGATGACATGAGATTTGTGTTTGAGTATTTAGACATTCAAGGGCTTGTCAAATACAATGAACACCAAGAAACGCGTAGTTCTCAAACTGAAACCATCAAGCATTACTATTCGCAACTTTCGCCGAGGTTATTTTCACGAATTATTGATTTATATGCGCAAGACTTTGAAATGTTTGGTTATCGTGTTCCAAAAGACCGACGTGATTTTAATAATTTAGTAATGTTTTGACCCTCGAACTTAAAAATCTAAATAATTCAATATTTTTTTTAAACTAATCTTTGTGTTAAATTAATCATGTTCATCGAGGTGGTTTTACAAAAATGGTCTAAACGTTTATTTAACCATGTGAAGCCAGCCATCTGTATTGGACCGACACGAATCGATAAATTACACCATGGGTGTAAAGACAAAGGTTTTTTAGTCATAACAATACAATACTATATAATTATGTAATATTGTGTAGCATCGTAAACATAAATTAAAATAATAAAAATATATATAAACTAAACACATTAACATAATATGTGTATTATATAATAATTATGTATTTATAGATGACCTCTCCACATTATTACCCCATGTCATTAGAACGATGCCTATGAGGGAAATTCCATAGTTTGCAGAGGAAATACTGTCCTCTGTCAGTATTGATTCAGATCAAGCCGACTGGGCTTCAATTCGAGGTTTTACGGTTTAGTGAACAATAATAAAAGAGTTAACTATTTGTGGTAAATCAGGGTCTCGAAAGCAAATACTTTTTGTGTCTAATTAATTACCGTACTATATCAGTTTCATGATAAAACAGTTATATAATTTAGACTTCACCAAACCAATCTTAAACAATTATACATTGGTGAAAATGATTTTATTCGTAAATTTAAACTGAAAAAAGATTATTATTATTATTATAGATTTTTGTAAAGCAGCCAATTATGTTTTATATGTCCAATATACGGATTTCGGACCATTTTTGTTCTATTTCACTTATATTAGTACCAATACTTTAATTTGATACTTTGATTTGAACTCATTTTGTGAAAGGAATGACCCCCTCACTATTAGTTATATCTTTTATAGTGCGAATGCCATTCCACCAGTGAATTTTAAAAGATCTATTAACAAAAAAACAATTAATCCATAATACTTGACTGCAACCTCGAGGTTGGGAAACCAAACCACTCCTGCTGCGCGTGATCTCTTGCTGCGCGTGAGGCAACGTGGATAAACTACAAGCGACTTGCACAGCAAAGGCTTCGAAACCCCGACCTTATTGAGAGTTCGAGCCACAACCATTGTGCCAACCACTATAGACACTTATACGTAGAATGAGGCAGAGGTAGGGGTCTACTCCACAATTTTTTGCAGACCTACTGTATATGCTTTAAATTATGTTATATTTACAGCTGCAGTTTTATTGTATATAGAGCTATATACTTATACATTTTTTTACACGTGTGATTTTCAACACTATTAGACTTAACAACATTGTTTAATGCAGCTCGTGAAGTATACTGTAACTGTATACTGTTTTGCTATGCATACGGGTATTAGAAATATGACTGAGGAATTAGGCGAATAATTAGCAAAATTATGACTTGATTTATGCCCCTTGAAATCGATAACATAATAAGCCTGTACGGGGCTGGTTAATCCTGGCTTTGCGACGCAGATTCCCACTTGGAGACGTTGAGATAACAACAAAGTTCAGTTTATCAATCTTTGGTTTTCCGGATGAATGGAATGGACACACGAGAGAGAACGTCTTTTTATAGATAAATTATAATTCAAATGCATTTAAAGCAGTAATACGGAGGATAGTCAAGTAGGCCTACATTGATGATGCTTATCATAATTTATGCTCCGAAAACCTGAACAATTTAACCACTGACGTCACACACTCACCATGCATGATTTTTATATTGCGTAGGTCTGTATTATTTATTATGTAATGTTACTATTTTTTTTTATTAAACCTTTGATATAAATTGTACATCAGTAGGTCTACTTTTGTGTATGTTTGTGATGGATATACAGCATAATTACTCGTTTCCTGATAGAGGCGTAATGGTGCACGGAGGAATGCTACTATTATACGATGTGTCTTGTATATAGCGCAACTGTAGGGTTTTACAGGGATTTCCCCATTCCTCTGCATGTAACATTCATATTGAATTCGACATTCTTTAGGCCAAATGTCCTAATTTTCCTAATGTTCAATAAGAACAACAAACGATAATTTGTATTACACAAGAAAAAAAAAAGAACAAGACAAGGAGCACAACATCATACGCAATGCTGTATTAAAAATTTTTTTTTTTTTTAATATAATCTGATAATTTGTGTAAAAATCTTTGGGAAGGAGTCTAGCAGGATCGCGAAATTCTTGTAGTGTTTGTTACGATATACTACCTAGAACGCCTGCAGAGACGTGAAAGAAATATATCATAGCACCATAATTTCAGGCGTCTTACCATTAAGGGCATTTCTGAGTACCTGTTTATGTCGTTTTAAATATCGTAAAATGACAGTGTGTACACTACACGAATCTATAAAATATTAAACGAGGCGTTGTCACGCTAGAAAGGCAACACATGGGGAAATTCATTATTCAAATTACGTTTGTACAGTACAGTGGACGGTAGCAGAGATAAGCTTGGTTCCCACTAGGACGCAACGCAACGACGAAGACGCAATGTATCGACGACGCAAAGTGACGCAACTCGAGGGTTCTGCGGTGGGAACCGACGACGCAAAATTGACTACGCAACGCAACACCGACGCTACTCAACCTTTACGTTGCTTGCGGATCGTAGGCCTATTTGCGTTGTTGGCGAAAAGTTGAATCGATTCAACTTTTCGCAACGCAAGGGCAGCAACGCAAGCAAAAAGCTAATTTGCGCATGCATGCTCACTGTTGGATTTGTAGTTAGTGCTTCGTGTTTACATGTTTTTGATGAGTTTTCTGTCATCTTAGACCGTCACGAACGTTCTAGTCTTGCCAATTTAATAATTATTATTATTGGTTGTTATACATGATGTATGCTGCTATTATTACTGTTATTATTATCATAGTCTTATCTTATCATAACCTATCATAGCCTGGCCTGGTCTAGCCAAGCCAAGCCTAGCCTGGTAGTTTTAATATAGCCAATTACGGTGCTCTTCTACTGAATGGCATATAATACTGTAAGCCTACACATTAATATTTATAATAATATGCAACGCATCTTACCAACCGTTCTTCAAAAACTATTATATATATATATTACAC